TTTGTATACAAACACACCACCTTAGAAATTGACTATGGATTTGTATGAATTTATCCTGTTATAAATCAAATTAGAATTTATATTTAAAAAAGTCTCAATAATGAGTAGAAGGTCATTAAATCCTCCCTATTTATTATTCCCGAATGCGCTGAGCCTACTTGACTGTTTTTAGTACTTCGAAATCCTACTTGGCAAAAGATCATGCTTCGTAAGTAGGTTTGGACAAACAATATTGATATATTAATAATTAATAATCTAGGTTCGGACATTCCATAAATATTATTTAGCTAACTTAGGTATTTTAATATAACTTTTACTAATATAACCCTTTAATTCTTTGAAATTTTACATAGTGAGACACTAAGTGACTAATATATCTCTGACTTTTGATTTGTTTACTTCAATTAACTATTGAATTGTAAATGTATTTTAAAAGTTGATAACTTTTGTATTCTTATTGGTTTTACATATATAATATATCAAATTAATTATCTTTTGATGATCTTCGATTTGACATCCATATTGTATATATGAAATAAATAAATCATATTTATCTTTATAATAATAAAAAATAATAATATTTATTAAAATTCTTTGAAAAATAAAATTATTTCTCAATTGATATATTTATGTTTAATTTTGTTATATGTTGTAAGTCAAAAAAAATTATAATATAACACAGGTAAGTCGCACAAATAAAAAAGTGTCATACTAAATATATAATAATATATATATTATTATAAAATGTATTGAAATTTTCAATTACATTTTCTCATTAATTTTAGATTTTAATAAAAAATTAGCAAGCACTCGTGTAATACACGGACGTTGTACTAGTTCATTAAAAGATAAAATCAAATGACATAAAAAATGAAAGATAGTGTTGTTTAAAAACTGATCCGACTTTTAATTGTCCAAATGTTATGCCTTTTAAAATTTTGGGCTAACGCTTGTCTTAAATAAATAGCCCAAAAAAATATATGACACAATGTATAGTACAAAAAATTATATTTAGTAATAGAATTGACCTCAACTATTTGTAGTACAAGATTAAATCGTTTACACAAGTAAAACCATTACACGTATAAGTTTAGTACATATAATAGTGATTGTTATATTACAAACTTTCATCTTTTTTGCATGTTCCATTTCATTTTATCACAAATTTTTAAAAAGTAAGTTTGATCGTACGAAAAAGGTAGATGATGTATCCGAAATATTAAAATAAATTGTAGTGCATAGTTTAATTATAATAATTTTATTTTTGTAGGTACATTATCAGATGTGTATACGCTAACACCTTCTTTCCAAAGACCGGATTCTATCATTCAAGTAGTTGGTGTATTTATTATTATTATTATTATTATTATTATTATTATTATTATTGTTGTTGTTGTTGTTGTTGTTGTTGTTGTTGT